TAAATAAATATATAGTAGAGGCCATAAAAGAGAAATTGGAGTTCAGGGGATTAAGGGAGTCTTTGCAGCTAGCTGGCTTGCAGCCCCTATCAAAGCGGTCGCTGCCTTAAGAGGGGAGGGCATTTATGTCAAAGAAGTAATAGGCTGGTTTACTCAAATAAGGAGCTGATTAGGTAACTGGAGGGAAGGGGAAGTGAAAAAGTGCAGTTTGGCACAAAATTGAGCATTGTTGTCAATTTTATCTTTTCTACCAGTTGTTTTGTTTTCACAGATACAGTATGAGATATTTTATGAACTCAAATGAAAGGTTTCACACACCAGATGAAAACATATAAAGTGCATATTTTCAGTTTTTTCATATTTAGCATTTCTGCTCTTCCATGCTGTTCACCTACTGCATTGAAAATAACTCTGTAGCACACTTACGCACTTTCCCTTTAAGAAGAGATTCCAGGCCTGTTTTTCAGATGGTCATTCAGTGATACAAACCTGTAGGACTGAGATAAATTGCTCCTGGAAACATTTTCCTCTTGGAAAATCACAGATGAGACTAAATGAGACATTTTATATATATAGTAGCAAACAGTCATTGGTACATTTCATTTTGAAAGTCCCATCTGTCTTGTGACCCAAACAGGTTTTGACACTGCAGAGTGATTGCAGTACGTCAGGACACACGAAACACTAGGAATGTTCAGGACAGGATGCCAAAGAACTTGGTACATTTTTACCATTTGGATCTTTTATAAAAGCAACAATATAATTAAAACTGTAATTGTATCTCTTGATCTATGTGACCACTGTATTTTGCAACATGTAGCTCAAATACCACAGCCCCACATTTAAGTACAGCTTTTACAACAAAAGAGAACCAGCAAAGCTTTTGCCAGGATTAGGATTTTAATTGATATCATTATAGCTAAAAGTTTAAACATTATGGGAATAATGGCTCTGGTGTTTTTCAGCACCTTATTATTCATTTTACGTCTTTCTGTCAGCGATGTGCTCAAGTCCACAGTGTCTGTAATATTTAAATTAATAATGCAAATTTAACTATTGCCATTAAAGCAAAGAGCTAATTAGGTCCCTGCTTGCTGACTGGCAGTATGATGCAATGAGTAAAATGATTTGAGTTGATAGCTAACATTGCCAGGAAAATGTGAATTGAGCTCGCTTGAGATTAAACAACGTCTAAGACTCCAAAGGAGGGGAAAATAAAAAGTGACTCATCTCATTTTTCTAAATAAAAAAAAATCCATGAAGAGACACAAATAGCTTATCAAGCAGCTGAGAGCAAGTTTTCTGAGATGTTGTGCAATTATTTTTTGCCTTTCATTCAATGGTATTTCTTCCAAACACTCTGGAGAACCAATTTTTCTCAGGCCTCAGAATGTGTGCCTTCTTCCATAGTTTTCACATTCTAAGCCAGCAAGGCAAGGCAAGCAAGCTGAACTTTACCTGTTTTATTGACACCTCTTAACTAAGCCCTAACATGAGAGAAAGAGAGAGAGAGAAGGAGGAGGAGGAAGAGGAGGATGAGAGGAAGAGAGGGAGGGAAGGAGGGAAAGAGTCAAGGAGAGGAGAGGGACGGAAGGAGGGAAAGAGTCAAGGAGAGGAAAGGGAGGGAAGGAAGATGAGAGGGAAAAAGAGACGGAGGGTAAGAAAAAGCGAGCAAGCTGAATGGCATTTCTGTTTGTCATTATTCTCATTTCAGAAAAACAACCCAAAAATAAATTAGATAAAACACATGGAGAGGAAAATAATGCTTGTTTCAAATTCAAGTAGGGAAAATCTGTCCTAGAATTTCTAAAAGCAGAAAAATCGTGCAAAAGACATAAGGACATATTTCATTTAATAGAGTAAAACCTTTCATGATTGTCAGAAACGAAGTAGAGGTTTTCTTATACTGGAAAAAGTATGGGCTTGCTTGCTGCTACACGCTGGCTCAGGAACAGTTGCTGCTAGTACGTAGAGCAGCCCAGGCTCTCCTCTCTTAGCTGTTGCAAAACTAGTGGGCTGTTTGAATATCTGACTGGAAGCCAGGTTCATCAGGTAGTCCCACCTGAAAGGTACGATAAAGCAATAATTGGGTGCGAGACAGAAAAAGGCAATTTGGCCCAACATACTTTTTAAAAATAAGTTTTCAATGTAATGTGAACATTTTATTCATTGAGGGATAATTTCATATATTGTGTGAAAAGACTCCATTTTTAAAGAATGATAGTCTTACTCTAAGGAAACTGCTTATTTAATTGGATTGCTACAACCTAACACTATTAAATATTTGCCTCATTTAATTTTATCAAACGACAGTTCATATATCTGTGCCAATGAATTCATTTGTTAAGGTTATGTCCTCATAGCGAATTTACTCATGTTCTGTTTTCTAAAACCTCTGTCCCTTTCTCCTGCTTCCAATATGTCGTAACGTGATTCTCCAAGGATAAGCCACTGTAATTGTCCCTCACTGCACAAGGCTCTCCTATGGCAAATAGTGAAGAATTCCAAGTACCAAGAGCATTGCTCACCTTTATCACCACCTTGACAAGGAACTGGCATTCATGTGACAGAAGAGGTGTATTAATTGCTGAAAGGCTATGCTGCTGAAGATGTTGATTAAACTATTCTTCTAGAACTTGTCTACATGGCATCAGTGGTTTCTGGTTCACACCAAAAATTACTTTTTATTTTTAAAACATTGGATTATTTAGCATTGCTAGAGGCAATGTGGCATAGTGGTTTGTAAACATGCCATGTGCTATGTATTGAGATGTTACTCTGGCTTCACATACATGATGTCATCTAATCCTCAGGATAACATCGTGACTGGCTTTGAAGTCAAACAGGTCATTTGTATTGCTGTGGAACTTAGCTTCCTTATTGATAAAATTGAGGTAATAATACCTCATGAGATTTTTTAAAGATAAAATTATATATGTAAATTGACTAATAGCATAGCCCATACTTTCAATAAACAATGCATATTCTACTCATTTATCAGGAAACATGAAGTTGTCATCCCTGCACTCCTGGGGTTTGGTAGCTACTCTCAAAAAACTATCTACTCACTGTGCCCATGTTGAAGCAAAGTTACCTGGCCATTTTGAATATATCCTTCTTCAAAAGAAGGCTATATCAGGAAAGCCATTAAGGTTGTTGTTCTTTCAAACCTACCTCCCAGGTTGAACTGCTGTAGAATACTTCTGACATTTCCAATGGAACTGCAGAATTGAATTACTACTATTTCATTACTTTGATGTATCAATATGAATTTAATCATAACTGTATCCATAGATATATAGGTTGTTGTCAATTTTTAAATACGTTAAATAGTATCATGGTCGATACAGTTATATCCGTATTTTTTCCTACATTCTGGATGATTTCCTTGAGAATGATCTCCAGAAATAAGGTAGATGACTGAGTTGGAAAATGTGAGCATTTTTAAAGGGTCTTGATATATATTGCTAAATTGCTGTTCCATTTACAATGCATTGTGTGAATAGAGATTCATCAAACTTCAGCCTAGGCTTGAGTCCCTTCCTCCTACAGAAACGCTCCAATTTAAAAATATTTGCTAAAAGATAGCACTAAATTGAATGATGCAAGTACTTGTTAGAGGATATAAAATGAGATATGTGCCCAAGCTCCCAAGCATCCTTGGAGGTTGGTAGACAAGGAAGAATTGCCATGTTGGACTGAGAGCCTATAGTTTGGAGTGAAGAATAAAACAAAACCAGGCTGGCTCACAGGAGTCACAAGACCAGTAACCAACATTTATTGAGGTCTTCCTATGATAACCAGGTCTGTGTTTAACTCTTTACATGCATTATTATTATTATTATTATTATTATTATTTTGAGATGGAGTTTCACTCTTGTTATCCAGGCTGGAGTGCAATGGCGCGATCTCGGCTCACCGCAACCTCCGCCTCCTGGGTTCAGGCAATTCTCCTGCCTCAGCCTCCTGAGTAGCTGGGATTACAGGCACGTGCCACCATGCCTAGCTAATTTTTTGTATTTTTAGTAGAGACGGGGTTTCACCATGTTGACCAGGATGGTCTCGATCTCTTGACCTCATGATCCACCCGCCTCGGCCTCCCACAGTGCTGGGATCACAGGCTTGAGCCACCGCGCCTGGCCTACATGGATTATTTTATTGAATTTTCTCCAAACCCTCATTTTATAGCTGACAAAGCTTTACTAGCATTTGGAAGTGAACATCTGAAAGCAAATATTCCAAGGGGAAGTAATAGTCCAAAATAATCAGCCCAATTTTCCTGTTTTTCATCCAGATTAACAGTCACAGCATCTTCTCCAAAAGCCACGTGGGGGAAGAGGGATCTCTTATGGGGAGAAACAAAGAAGAAAGGGAGAAAGAAGAAAGGCAGTGGAACTGATCTTTTTCCAGAAGCTTTCAGAGTGTCATGCTGTCTTTTGTCGGTGACCCTCTAGGCCAACAGTCCCCTCTGCAGGCTGTCAGGGGCGATGATAGGAGTTCATGCCAATAAACTGGCCTTTCAAGAGGCATTTCTCCATCTTGGAAACACAGACGCATATACACTCCTGTCCAGATCAGACACACGGGCTTTCTGGTTCACCTTTTCTTTCCTGAACAAGCATATTTATCATGGTCAATGTACAAGAAATGCCCTTTTGATGCAGCTCCCCTTTGTCCCTCTTTTCATGCCTTAAGCCATCAAAAGAGCACAAAACTCGGTGACATTTTGTAGGATTTACCTCTGAGACTCTGGTGTCACACACGCAGCTGGGAGTATTGAATGTGTCCTGGTACGAACCAGTGTCCCGAGGGTCTTTCCATTGATTTTACTTCTGAGTTCACAGGAAGACCCAGTGTGCTTACTCTGACTCAGTACTGAGATATCGTTACCTTAGGACAGTTCATATAAAGGGAAGAAAAGGGAAATTCAGGGGAAAAGAGACAGTATAGGCCAGATTTAGAGGTGCAACTATGAGGTAGAATGAGCAGAACTTTCTTACCTGCCATATTTCAAAATAAAACCTTAGTCTTGTCCCCTTAAAATACTATGCTGTGAAGTCTCCACTGCTCTCTGGATAAAGACCAAGCTCCTCTATGTGGCACACACAACCTTTCTGGATCCTGCCTCATCCTCCCGTGGCCACTACTTGCCCTTAACTAGATACGCACCAGTCTCCCTGATTCATTTTCAGTGCTAGGATTGTGTAACTCTCTTGCCTCAAAGACTCATACCTGCTGATTCCTCTGCCTTTAGGGACATTCTCCTTGTTCCTCCCTAGCTTGGCTACCTGAAATGTCATCTCTTCCAGGAAACAACCCCTGACTACTCAAGACCTGGCTACATACCTCTTTTCTGGGCTCCTAGAAATGCCTACATATTCTGTTCTTATTAAAATGCTTCTCCCACTGATTGAAATTTCCTGTTACATATCTGTTTCCTCTCTAAGCTGCAAGCTGGCTGGAGGGTAGAGGCTATATCTTATTCAGTGTTCTCATATCCAGTTTTTAGAACAGTGCTTGACTCAGAAGTCACTTCACAGATGTTTGTTATCATGGAAATCCTGAACATCTTCTTTAGATGACATGCACTTACACTTCAGTTCACTAAGTGGATGGAGATGGGTATCCCATGTTTGTTCCACTGAATGGCAGGCTGTATGAATACTTTCCTGAACCACGATACAGTTCACTCTCTGTGTTTCTTATACACACTCACGTGATTATGCAGTTACACTGTAGAACTAGAATCATGCCTGTAACACTACCCTACGCTCTGAAGGCATTATTTACATATCCACTCTACATTTATCCAGAAACCACAGCTGCTAACTCTGCTAACCATTCATACAACCTTGGTAAGCAATTGGTATAAGCTCATAGGTGGCTGATAATATTCCATCCTCCTCCTATTCTCAATAGCTGAGTTTGGGTTCATAAGCTTAGAGAAAGGCTCCTCAGAACCAGCTGGTGGTTTGGAGAGAAGAAAAGCCATGCATTTTTATTGTGGCTATTGTTTCCAAGACTCAGCTAAGACCTGAATAGATAAACAAAAAATACATCATAGAAGCAGCCTATTATTCTCAGGGTTGCTATGGCTGTCCCCAGGGCCTTACAAATTATCAATGAAAAATACAACATACTTTCACAGAATTAAAATGGCTCAACTTCAAAGAGTGGCTTTGTTTAGAGCCACCTAGTGACATTTCCTAGGTCCTCCTCCCTAGATGGAGAGTGGGAGCCACTACTTACCATCTACCTCCTGGCCTCTTAACCCACAGCTTGTTACATTAAGCTAGGGAAGTTTTATGTGTATAATTTGTGAAGTTCTCTTAAGCAGACAGTGCTATATATATATGTGAAATGCTGTTAATAATAAAGGTTGGCTCACCTAAGAATACTGTAGAATTAAAGTAATGAGATTCTATTTTTAGGCAGCCTTGCCAATAACATGCAAGTATGATAAGGCTATGATTTAAAGCTCACTTGAAGCTTCCATTGCTCTAAAGAGTACGTTTTCTGGGCTGCCTGCACACAGTAGTCAGCCGCACAGAGCTCTATTAATGCTAATGGTGGCTCCACACTTGAATCCCAGCATGCCCAGCTAAAAATAGGTCTCAGTCTTTTAGACATGGGAGTGTATCCTGCAGAAGCTTGCTTTCACAAAATATAGATCGGCCTCTTCAGTCACCTTGCAAATCCTCATCACTGTCTTTGAAACACTAAAAAAAGCCTCTAGAATTTGTTTTGAAATTTTTACACACCTGTAATTATGTGAAGATAAAGGATGTGCTTGGGAGGCTCAGTTCTGTTTATTTTCGGATGTGAAAATACATTTAATAAAGCCCTTGATTTAAGTGATTCATAACTAGAAAAGAAGTCCCACTCCTCAGGAAAAAAAAAAATAATTAGCTCTTCCACCACTAATGTTTAGGTCAATGCTTTGTCAATAACAGTAACTCTTCTTCACCAATTTAGTGTAGCCTATAAAGATCATTATGACTCATAATTACAGATGCAGATTTATGTCAAAATGCATATATAAATCTCTAGTTCTGACTATGGGTCACCTCTTATCAGGCAAAAAGATTTGTATAAGGAGACACTCTCCTTGATCCCTTTGATCATTTTTCTCTTTCCATTTTGGGGGTAGAATTATAAGGGTTTCCCATCACTGACCCAAATATAACCCAAGGCGCATTACAGAGCCACAGCTGGAGGGACTGAGTTGCTGTCTGGCTTTGGTGGTGGGAATGGGAGAAGGATGAGGTAGCTGTGGAAATATACTTCCTGAGATTATTGCTGTCTGGTTAAATGAAGAGCCCCTTTTCAACACCTGCAGGTCAGCCTCTGTAAATCAGAGGGAAGATGATCATCTGGACAGAGGGAGATGGGTTTTAACATGACTAAGACTTCTTGAGGCTGAAGTCTACTGCTCTGTGCAATACCCAGGGCAGTCATAGTCCTGGTAAGTTATCAAAATCTGTGGAAGCCTGAGTGACCAAATGGGATGTCATGTTGGCCTTGTCCAGGATTTTGTCATGTTAAGATTTGGGTGGATGCATTTCCTGCTAGGAAGTCTGAGTTTTGAAACATCACCTGGTCTCCAGGGAATCACCCTGATGGTAGAGGGGCAGGATTCCCCCAGCACCTGTGGAGGATGTGAAAAATGCACCCACCCTCTATGTGTGCACAGGTAACTGCTGAAAAATTGCTAGTTCTTCTATTTAGAAACAGCCTGAATGCTGGGTTTGGGAGATTACTATGAGAATGCCCAGAGACTCCACTTTTTTCCTACTGCAGAGCTCAACCTGATATACTTAGAAAAGACAATCTATGCTTAATATGGAAACTCTCAGACAGTGTTAATAAAAAAATACATAGTTAAACACACACCTACCCCTATGCCCAAGCAATTCAATTTCTGGAAGCACACTCAAAAGAAGCAAGCACGTATGTCCACAAGAAGACTTGTACAGGAATATTCAACACAGCTTTATTCATAACATCCCAGGCCTGGAGACAACCCAAATGTCCATCAACAGGTGAATGGATAAACAAACTGTCATATATCTGCATTCAGCAATAGAAAGCAATGAATTACTGATTCCCACACAGTATAGATGCATCTAAGAAATGTTGCATTAAGTGAAAGGAGCCAGACACAAAAGAATCCATTGTGTGTGAATTCAATTTATGAATTTCAAGGACAGGTAAAACTAATCCATCAAAATAGAAATCAGAATACTAGCTATTTCAGCGGGGCTGAGGGTTATTGACTAGAAACGTGCACAAGGGAACTCTCTGGGTGATGAAAATGTTTTATATCCTAATCTGGGCAGTGGTTAACATGGTATATACATATGTAAAAAAATTCATTGGGCTGTATATTTAAGATCTGAGCAATTTACTGTTTGTAAATGATAGCTCAATAAATAAAAAATTTTAAAAGCTAGGTGGAAAAAATACATGGAGAAGAACTCATTTTTCTAAGTGCCGTCATCAACAAAGACAAAATCAGGAAGATATTTGAAAGAAAAAATGAAAAGGAATAAATGAAAAAATATGAGCCTTTTACTCTTCTTGCTTTTATCACATGACATGAAAATGCTGGGGCTCAGGAAACCAAAATCATTCTATACAATGCTTAGGAATCTGAATGCTCCTCTTAAATTAGGAAGTGTTTCATTTACAAGGTTTTCCTTAGGAAATGGTATTGTTTAAACATAACCAGGAAATAGGTATTTTCAGTTGATGTGTCACTTGTCTTAGCAAGAGATCAATTAATGATTATGACAAAAATTGATATTAAATATACAGTCCCCATTTTTCATACAATTCACCTCAGTCCTTTTGCGTTTGTCTTGCGATAGATAAAGACTTTTAAGTTGTTAAAGGAAGTCTTCCTGGGGTACTTGCCTTCCTGTGTCATTAATGAAACAAATTTATTTTTCAAGAAGGATCGTGACAGAACTTCCACATAGCATCTGCTACTCCTTATTCAGTTGACATTTTCATTTCTGTAATTCTAGAGTTTGTCTGAAATTGTTTGTGATATTTATAAAATGCTTGCAGAATTTTTAACTGGACCTAGAGATCGCCAAGTCCTTCCTCCCTCATTTAAGATGAGAAGACTGAGATCAAGAAAGGTTAAGTGACTTATTTGCCTGGGTTTGTCTTCTCTGGCTGACTTCTTGTGTAGAATTTGGATGTCTTTCTTGAACTCCATGATAACAGCAGAGTCTATGGTCAAAGATATAGTGCCATTGTGTTTGTAAGCACATAGACATTTTACAAAATGGGAATCAAGATGAAGATCATCTTTGGGTGGGACCCAGAGTATTTTCCAGTCATGGAATTCTGTTTCTGATCTCTATATAGTTTCCCCACAGTAAAACTTCTGTCACTCACTTTAGGCTAAGCTGTCTATTCCCCCTTACCATTAATAACTCCATAAGAGCTCTATGAACCTGTGTCATGCATATAATGTGGCTTGGGAGCTGCATTGTCTGGGTTCACTTTCCTTTCCCTACTTGCTAGCTGTGTAGCTAAATTACTTGCACTGTAAATCTCAGCTTCCTTATTTGGAAAACTACAATAATGCTATTACCTTACCTCTTTTTTTTTTTTTTTTTATCCTTTTAAGATGAAAAGTTCAACTCTAAATAAAGATCCCAATTTCTGATTGGGTAGGTTATTTTCATGTATTCTTAGATTTTTTTTAATGATTTAACTTGAATTATGTAAGTCAAGTCAGCCTGGCTGTTAATAAATATTCAATAAATATTATCTAATAGATAATTATGGAGCTTTTAAAAAGAAAACTATACGCCATCTTCTTTTGGTTGGTTTTCCCACATTTTTGCATATACAGTTCACGGAACTGAATACTCTACTCTTTCCGTCGTATCTTCTACCAGGTCTCCTCTCAACTCCAGCTCCCCTCATTGTTACTTACTTTGTCCTCGGCATAACTGCCATCTACCTGGTTTTCCATGGCATGTGTCGCTCATCATACACATTTTAGCAGTGAACTCTTTTGGTCTTACAATGCTCTTTGTTTTACCTGATATCAGCTTTCAGAAGGCAGGGGCCATATCATGTA